ATCGCCGCAACTCTCTCCGCGCACTCATGTCTCTTGCGCCATTTACAAATTGCTCCTTAAGCACACGGTCTTGCATCAGGCGCAAGGCATCACGTTCCGGGCCTTAAGCCGCCTGCTCCATACGATTATGAAACCGCATTAAAACCCGGCTAAAATCTGCCAGTGACTCTTCCGGTAATTGTTTCCGCGCATACAGTGCACTAGTCAGCGAGGACACGCTTTCGGAGGTGCCAAATCTGTTACTCAGAGGGTGATTACCTTGGGTAGGGTGTCCCTTTCATCCTGGGGCGCGCATAGTATTTCCTCTTTTGCTATTCCGCCCAAGTGGTCCACAAATTCCCCAACTTGTCTATCACCCTCGAGCCCTAACTGCCGTGAATAACGCTCAAATTCCTCAAGCCATTCATTTATGGTCAAATCCCCAGGCTTGCGAGGGGGCCACAGAACTTCACCAGACTAACCTTTGGTGTTGGTGTGATTTTCAAATTTCCAAAAGCATTCGCCAACGTCTGTGCTAAGGCCTCGTTAGACCTTGTGATTACTTCACCCATAGCTTCTGGTAAGGCCATAACTGAATACCGTTACCGCGCAAAATTGGCAAAATTTCAAACGCCAGAAAGGTCAATACCCGAGCAAAGAAAAATTGTTTCAAGACACCCCAGCGCTTTAAACAAACACTTTTACCCTTGCAAAGTCACAATTACAATTAAAAATTAGAATCCGACTTATGGCAATAAAATACACTTTATGTATGGTATACAGTCAATGATGTCCGACAACAAAACAATGTGTCTTATTTACCACACTTCTCCATGTGTTGGGGGTCCACATAAAATTACAAGGAAAACAATTTACATGTAGTCAACAAATATAACCCTATATATTCTTGAATCTTCTCTATCCTGTCTACGACGCCACTTGTAGTAACCTCCTCGAGGGCAGGGGTTGGGTGGAGTCTCGTTATCAACTCCGAGGAGGGGAAATGATCCCGGGTTCCGGGCAAGAAGAAACAAAGAGTCTTGAGACACCGATGTATCCCCAAAATCTACTGGTTTGTTATGAGACTGAGATCCAAAAATCAAAAATGTTCATCTAGGTATTGTCCATCAGATCACAAAGTATGAACGTGATCGTTCATTTTGTTCGTGAGTTATAATTGAGGGAACTTATCAAATTTTGGCCAAAAATCGCTTGTAATTTGACACTTGATGACGTCATCGTGTCGTCAGAGTAATATGCACGACTCGGGATGAGGGTCGATAAATATTGAAAGTTACAAGTTCATACCATACACCGTCTAGGAGAAAATTGCGGAGAAGTATTGTCCGGAAAAGAAAAGAAAGAAAGAAAGACCCAAACAAAAAAGATTTCTGAGAACAATTCTAGACAGTGGTCGGGCACTCAAAAACTTTAACGAAAACAAAGGCTGTTTCGGCCGGTTGCCGAAACAGCCAAAAAAAACAACAACTAGAGATCTATGTCTGTTTGCAACAGAATATGGGGCTTTTCCGGATTATTATTTTTTTAAAATCAACAACACGTCCCTGACTATGCATGGACAACATTTCAAAGTATACGGTACAAGATTTTTTAATTTAGCATGTAGCGTCTTTGAGATATATTATCATCGAAGAAATATCTATGTTAAATCAGATGTATCGGACTATGTTCATACGGAATTTTGACCCATTGGGATTGAGTTTTCTCAATATGAGACTTTGAAAAGTGGCCCTTTATGATGACGTCACATGCCCTACGATGACTTTATCTTGACAGCACTTGTCAATGCACATTTTCGCATTGTAAACTTGGTTTGTACCAATTTTGAAGTCAATTCAGGTGAAAGAAAGTGTTCAATTTTGGAGCGGAATGACATTATAAATAGTACAAAAAATCAACAACAAAAAATCAACCGATGACATCATGGTGACATCCTTTCGAATTTTGCATACTAGTACCATTATCTAGCTATCCACTAAGTTTCAAGACAATCGGACTTTCCCTTACATGTGTTTTCAAAAATCACATTTTTGATGACGTCATGATGACGTCACACATTTTTCAAAAATTTGTGCACATATACCTTTTACCTTACAAATCAAATACAAAAAGAATTTTGAATTTTTCATGTTGCGTTTGTGAGATATGGCTTAAAGGTCCAAAACTTTAAAAATTATGCATATAAATTCGCACGATGATGTCACCTCAATATTTACCTAAAACACATCCCGGTCTACCTATGTATACTGAGTTTCAACCCAATCAAACTTATAGTTCTGTTGATATAGGACTTTAAAATATGCACATTTGTCAAGACTGACTGCTAAGTAAGAATTTTCTATTAATCAAACAAAACAAAACAAAGGTATGCACATGCTTTATATTGTAATTTGTTTTATTTCCAAAACAAGTCAACAATTAAAATGAATACCAGAAATGGTAAGGATATTTACATGTATGATAACTAGTGTCAGTGTCAATACCTGAATGGTCATCGTTCTGAATTACACCACATTAACTTGGCGAATGGGGGCCATTCACTTTACACGGTGTGCCGTTGTTTTTTTTTTTTTAACGCGCCGTGCGTATTTTGATCGCGTAAAAGTTTTAAACGATTTCACACTGGAATTAATATCGTCCTTCGACGTCATTTTGCATTTCCATCTGTAGAATGGGAACCAGACAATGGAACTTTCATGGGCAGAACACCATTAAAAATTTATGTTAAAATATAGACGCTACCTTACCTTTTAGCAGGTGCGATGAGGGAAAATTTGCAAGTTTTGGAAATCGTTAATATTTATTACACTCATTAAAAGTACCGAAAGGCACAACATTTTTTTAATTGTCCTTGTTTTATAACTTGGCAGAATGTTCTTAATGCCTGGTGAACTGGATAAAACAAATCGCCACGTGAAGGTGTTTTGGCAACGCAAAAAGAGAAATTTCCTGTGCAAGATCAGGCTCTGTGCCGCTCGTTTACTCTGCCTTGCCTAGCCTGCGTACAACCCACAGCATGTGATTGTATGTACGTCTGTGGTACAACCACAGGCATATAAACACAACCGTTAAAATTATGCAGCGCCCTCTTTTGGCGAGAATGAAGGGACGTAATATACATTGTGCATGTATGTGCTATACGATGTTTAAAGCGGAGGTGCGGTCAACCTGAATTTTAAGCATGCTGCAGGGCATGTCCAAGTACACTTTTTGCCACCAAACCTAGCAAAGTTTTAGACCTACCCTTAGAGTGTGTTTTGAAACAAAATTCAAGAATATTACTATCAGGGTAGATTTTTTAGGAATTTTCAAAGAAAAGGAGGTTTGTTCATTCTAACTTCCGGTCTGATGATGTCATCATTGTTTTTTTTCGCGCACAGGTGTTGTTTGCATTAAGGTCATTATATACCCTCATTTTAAAGCGATTACCGCAAACTTCGCCACAGACATCAACTCAAAATTCATTTTAAACATTTGCGCTCTAACATTTTATGAAGTCACCTGTACATTTTTTGTGAACTACAACCTAACCACAGGCTAACAGCGTGTAAAGCAACTTCATATCTTTTTCTAGTTTTAATTAATAAGCCACTTCCAGTTTGGTCCGGAAGGAAGGGTCACGTGACATTACGTGCACGAGATAAAGTAAAGACCCTGGATTATTATATCAATTCACGCAAACGTCAAGTTCGGGTCTCTCAAGGTTGATTTTATACTGATTTTCAAAGATTAAATCTGTTAATCTTTAACGTGACGTCACGTGGCCCATGATGACGTCATGATGACGTCACTCTGCCGGACACAACTATGCTATAAGGACTATGCCTATGCTGACTTTAAATGATGTACGACAAAGATTAATGCCAAAGTGGCGTTGAGAAAAGATGTGTACAACGTCTATGGGATTTGCCATGGAAAAAAAACAAGAAGAAGAAGAAGAAGAAGAAACAAAAATCAGAACAAAAAGAAAGGCTTTTCCACAACTATGCGATAAAGCCAAAAAAGCCAGCACAAAAAGAAAGGCTTTTCCGCAACTATGCGGAAAAGCCAAAAAAATATCAGAACAAAAACAAAGGCTTTTTCGCAAATTAGCGAAAAAGCCAAAAAAAGAATAAAAATCTTAACAAAAACAAAATCTGTTCCAAAAGGTTAACGAATGCAAGAGCTGTTTCTGAGCATGTACTCTGAATCAGCTAAACAAATTGAGTATTTGGTGAGGAAACGATCAGAGCAAAATGTTAAAACCATTCGACAATGTGTTTCTAGGCATTTGAGCATGGTCAGACAACTGCGAAAAAAACAGTGTCAAATGAAACAAATGCAAGAATCAAATGCAAGAAACATTGGTTCTTTCTGTCTCAAAAGAAAGTTCTCTTAAAGTGTCAAGTAGGTTTCAACTAACTAATTTCAATACTGAAAAATAAATTGCATTGCCTAAATACAAACATGTTATAATGATTAAACCTTTTTATAAGTCAAGAGCGTACCGGTAGTTTGAACAGATTTTAGTATGCAAATTTCATAAGAAATTATTACTGCATGTATGCCAAAGATATACAAAAATTTGAAATTTTAAACTTTTGAAAAGTAGGCGAATGATCTTATAAAATAAAACAAAAGTAGCTACAGGAACCCCAAATTTTAGTCCCCAAATTTGCTTGAAAAATTGTCCTGTCAATTCAAGTTATATACAAGCATGTATTATAGCATGGCTTATTAACTAAAACCAAATAATTCACTCTCGATTTCTTGACTGATCTCTCCATAATTATGTCGTGATTTCTAAGTGCATGGTATCAGATATTTGTATGAACAGTGTAAGCCTGTCAAGTAATGCCTGCATAATACTTTTTTGTGTGTAATTTTCCGCAATTACAATACATGTCACTTCAGTTTCTAGACAATTCTTTTAAAATTAGATTTGAGTTTATCTCCGTGTACCACAATCGGGTACATGTGGTCTACATTTTAATTTTTTTTTTTAATCTCTTTAACAGATACTGACTTTGATGATGTACGCTCTGACTTTGAAGAACGTTTCCCCTGTATCAGATTTAGCGATAAACAAAGGTAAATTATGTAATGTTATTGTCTCAATGCAATATTTGTTCATAACACCATTTTGCCTAATCCTGGCCAGTGCTGTAGTTAGGATGAGATTGTAGTGCAGGGCTATTTGCTCTAGAAGAACTAAAGCCGTGTCCGCACTGGACTTTTTTTTGGGGAAGGTTTTACCGAGAGGAGGTTAAAATGAAAAATGGTCAAATGTGACTACTGTCCACACTTGGACTTTCAACTTGGACTTTCAACATTGAAAGCAAGTATACATCTTTTGCCAATTTCAAATTATAAGGCACTTTCGGTTTCTACCGAAAGGAAGGGTCATGTGATCTTGCACTTAATACCAAAAATGAAGACCCGGCAATATTGTATTGATTGTCATAACTAACTTTGTATTGAAATAATTTTTTATTGAAATAAAAGTTCAAATATATCAAATGACAAGGATCTATATGTCAGTTATATAAAACAAATATTGAGTGGCTTTAAATTATGAAATTGGAGGAACATTATCGCTCGGTAAATCTGGGCTTTTCCTGTTCACTCGGCTTCGCCTTGTGAAATGAAAAAGTCCAGATTTTACCTTGCGATAATAGTCCTCCCATTCCACACTGATCCACTCAATATTTGTATGCTATCAATTCCCGTATAAAGCAAAATCAGATCTCTCACATTTGATATTATATTGATTTTCAAAGATTAAATCTATAAATCTTTGGTTGCTTGAAATCTGATACTTGGTGACATCATAGTGACGTCATTACAAGCAAGCTCGCGAGCTATGTGAACTGTGTTTGATGCAGAATCGGGATTATATCGGGATTATATTCCCACAGGTGTTGTCTTTATTATGGTCCTCATACCGGTATATATTAATTTTAAAGCGATTACTGCATCTTCGTCACACACATCAACAGATTTTTCATTTTAATCATTTTTCAATCTGCCGCTAGAGGGCTCCAGTGTTGGAATCAAGACCTCAAAGACCGAGACCGAGACCTCATAGTCCGAGACCGAGATGTCATTTAAAAACACACACACAATAAGAAGCAAGTTGTGTACAAACGTGTGCACATATCAATGCAAATTTAATACCAAAACTCTTAAAAACTTGAAATAAATAACAACTAATGCTGTACCATGCCTTTAAAAATAGCCGGGTACATTTTGGCAAGATTTTTTAATGGTTTGATATTCTTATGGTTTGACTAATTCATACAGGTAGTTTTTAACATGAAAATAACTATTAACCCTTACCCAACTGGACCCTCCAACGCATGCCATTATGTGCCTTAAGAAAATGGCATATGTTTTTTGCACGGCCCTCCAATATCTGCCATGTCATTTCAAGGGTAACTGGACAGGCACTCCAATACATGCCACAGAGAACAATGAGAGTCCTCTGATAACAAAGTGAGTGCCCCCAGCTGGTCAGTATCAGGCACCCTCCAGGGCCTCCAACTCCTGCCAATTGGAGCCTTCACTGTTAAGACAAACTATCTGCCAATAAACTGCAGCTGGAGGGCATTGGCATAACCAACTGACATGCAGTAAACTACCCTCAGAGAGTAAGGGTTAATAGTCACAGCAATTATACTTTGTTTCATCAACTTCAACATAACTGAACTTGTAAATTGTCAAACAACATGTAAGAAAAATTTCAACATGGCGAACTTGGCCCTCAGCCCAGCTACACACGGTGACATACCTCATCCTGGCTCTACATCTGCAAGGTTTTCCCTTGTTTAATGTTAATTCAAATTGACGGAAATGTTGGTTCAATTATTTTTGAGGTAATATTATAAATAATTTACATAAGGCGTAGGTACGTACTTTACTTTGTGGACACGACTTACGAGCCCGATGAAGGCTGAACTCGTCCCCTGCCTGGTTGGTATATACGCTTCTGACTGAAACAAAATCTGCAGGTAGCCGAGTGCTTTCTTTTATCTGATGTTTTGTCCACAATCTATGTATCAGAGATGCCACTTTTCCGGTATTAACCGGAATTCCGGTTTTAAAAAAAAAATCTCACAAAATTCCGGTTTTTCCGGCCGTCAAATTAACCAGAAAAGAAAAGAAAACTGTGGAAATGCGATGATTTTTACCTCGATTTAGTACATTTTGCGCACGCATGGCACAACGTTGTTCGTTGAAGTAGTCTTAAAAACAGTCTTTGTGTATGTTGTTGCGGAGCCTGCATGCGATACAAGCGGCCAACGTACTTGCACGCGATATACAACAGCGCCTCGCGCGTGCTTCACCGCGTGCGGGCGTGTTGTGTGCTAAGCAAACGTAGCATTCAGCCTGGAAATCAAGTCTATCATTTCAGCTATCGGTGGTTTCTGATCGCAGTGATATATGTGAATACAAAAAATGCGGGTACCAACCATGTTTTCGTTAAGCGCATCGCGTAGTGCAAGGATCGTGTACACCGACAGCGTGTTGTGGAATCGTGCACGTTTTGTGTCGATTATATTACGTTGAAAATTCGGGTAGGCAGAATAAATATTAGGAATATGGAAAAAGTCAAAGTGATTGAATGAACCGACAGCTTTAAAGGCCATAGAAGCAAAATTAAAAAATAAACAGAACTTGGCTTGGCTACAAGATAAAGATGACAATGTGGACTTTGTGTTGGACACGGAGTGGCTTTTGCACACGTACAAAAAAGTTCCGTTTTTTTTCAAGCAGCCGTTCTGTTTTTTTTTTCAAGCAGACCAAGTTCCTTTTTTTTTCGAGCAGACCCTGTGGCATCTCTGATGTGTGCTCCTTAAAAGCAAATTTTAGGTTTAACGAGTTGCTTGACATAATTTCTAATTTGACAAGACAGCACTTTATAATGATTAAACGTCAACTCAAAATAATTTCTGAAATATTTAACGTTACACCACGTTATACTACGAGCGAGAACGTTCCTGCATGGATGTTTACATGCAGTGACTACACACATCCACCGTGCGCAATGTATTTTTGCACACACGTGATTGACGTCACGACACACAGTTTGTTAACGGATTTTGACAAACAGTCCATGCTACTTACTAACTGAGCGGCGATATGCTAGCGATAAGCGTGCTCTCCATGCGGAAATTCTTTTGACATGCACTATGCGTTATGATTTACCCTGGTGAAACAGTGTTGACTCCATCAGCGGTTAATCAAATAATTGTCTTCAAACACTCTGGAATATTCAACAGGTCTCGTCAAGGTCTTGATCCGAGACCCTTGTCCAGGACCGAGACACTTGGAGTCGAGACCGAAACCACAACATTCCGAGACCTCAAAATCGTCTAGACCTGAAAAAAATGGTCTCGAGACTAGGTCGAGACCTCCAACACTGGAGGGCACTGTAATATTTTATGACATCATCGGTAATTGTTTTGTAAAGTTACTTGCCAGTCACTTGCCAGCAACCAGTATCGTTGAAAGCAAGTACACATCTTTTTCCACTTTCAAATTATAAGGCACTTCCGGTTTGGACCAGAAGGAAGGGCCACGTGATTTTGCATGCGCGAGATAATATAAAGATCCTGAATTATTCTATCAATTCCTGCAAAAGGTAAGTTCAGGTCTCTGACAGTTGATTTTATATTGATTTTAAAAGATTAAATCTGTTAATCTTTAACGTGTATCACGTGACCCACGATGACGTCATAATGACGTCATAAAAATAATCACATCTTCAGTACGTTGTGTACTCATGTATTCAAATTCAGGTTGATAAAGGTTTTCATGTGGACAAACAGTTCTTGAAATGAATTTGCATAGGAGAATAGTCAACAAATACAAAAATACAATAGAGGTTGTAGGAACAACCACATGGTGTGGGCTATTGAATACTTCGGCATGCACATCAAATTAAATGCATGTTTGACTTTGTCAATATGCCGCTAGAGGACACTCTAACATTGTATGATGTCACCTGTAATATTTTTGTAAAGTGCAGCCTAGGCAGAAATTCACATCATTGAAAGCAAGTTCACACATCTTTTGCCAATTTCAAATTATAAGGCACTTCAGGTTTAGACCGGAAGGGTCATGTGATTTTGCACTTAATACCAAAAATGAAGATCCTGCAATATTGACCTATCGCCGTTTGCGAGTTAACCACGCCCCTTAGACAACGCTATGGAATGTTGTACGCTAAGTTTTGTTCGTCTCAGAATTTGCGCATTCTGCACCATTTGTATATGGTGTAATTGGACAATATTTCACAAGCTGCGTTGACGCGATTCTAACGCGATTCTTCCGCGATGGGTCAATTGTATCGGTTGCCATAAAAAACAAACAAATCTCTATCAGTTGATTTTGTTTTGATTTTCAAAGATTAAATCTAGAAATCTTTATTTGTTTGTAATATGATATTACTATACCTCATAAATATTCATCAGGCAACCATGGCATTTCATTGGGCCATTCTAGCTATTCAACCGTGTGAAAGTTTTTACTATCACCCCGCGTCTTTGTACGCGCGCGTGACGTGCAAAAACCAGGGAGGTACTATCACACACCTGGGTCGCAGCCTTAGATTTGTTCCAGTACTGTGTTATCTCTTTACCAACAGGGCATGTGCTTTACGTGCGTACCCTGAAGAACACCAGTGAGGACAGTTGCATGTGCCAGTCTATTACAGCATACATAAAAAATGGCGACCGGTGGTGCTCGCTTTGCGATTTTACCCGAGGAGGAACTTGATGGAAAATTTATACAATAATAATAAATGCAAGTGTTTTTGCATGAATGTTTAAGTTATTAAATGACACAAACTTAACTTTCAATTCTGTATGTCTCCTTAATTAAATTAAAATAATGTCTCACTTTATCCAAATACTGCACAATCAAAAACATGGTGGAATGGAGGAATGAAGTACCGCAGCAGCTGCCTGATGAATATTTATGAGGTATATTAAAACAAGTACAACGTGTTTTTGCGGTGAAATAGTGAAAACTAATGACTCCTCGGTGTTGAATGATTGGGACTACCGGTATCTCCCGAGGCGAATCAT